TTGTCGATTCTATCTGGCTGTCGACAGAGGATCGAGTTTCATATGTTTTATGCCTTTGAGAGTGAATTTTTTTTATTTTAGGCTTTGAAGATCTAATATGAATGTATTAAAATAAATATTCTGGTCGCCACGGCCACATATTTGTTTGTTTGTTCGAACCTTGTCGACTCCTATTGATCTGTACCAATAACACGCTCGTCAGGGCCCTTGCGGGTGTTTGGGGGCATTTTATAATTAAACCCTGTCTACTCCTTTTTACCTGCCTAGGAGGATCGGGTTTAAATTTAATAACCCGTGCAGCATCCCTAGACGTCACGTGTGTACCAATAACATGCTCGCCGGGGCCCATGCTGGTTGAGATTATATTTTTCCCTTTAGTGTACCTACGTATATACAAGCTACGGTGCATGTGCAGGGGGGGCATTCTTGGAATATTTGTAAAACGCCTTCTGTCCACTTGCATGAATGTTGTAGATCTGGTGGCGTGAAGTAGCCGCTTCTGAATGGAGTTATTCGTTGCTTCATACAGGTAGACTGTCATATACTACTCGTTGCCTTCTGTAGGTGGATCGTAGTATACCAACTAATCTCCTTCCTTGGATCGCAGGAGCTTGTAGGAACTTGTATTCCTTATGCATTCTGCTGTGATTTTAGTCTTTACAATACAACCACTACTGCTAGAGGTAGATATATTCATCTTTAGACTGAAGTTGACTGCAGGATACTGCATTTACTGTAGTCTTTGTGCATCTACCCATGAGCGGCATGTGGCACATACATTTGTCTTCGTAGAGAGATCGTATGTGTTGCAGATCTTTTATCTTTGCTGGTATGTAGATCAATGTGCTTGTTTGTATGTTGATGTAGATGACTGTAGTGTTATAAAACAATTATTTCATTTGCTAAGTCTCCTTCGCACTCCTTTGTATTTTCATTAGCTTGAAGATCTCCCAAAATTCGTTGAGAACTCTATGTTATTGATTGATTCTAAGCATGTGGATATCCTTCCAATTTGATCTCTATTTGCAAGAAGATTGTTGTATTTGTTACAATTCTTTTAGTGTTGCTTGTAGGGATGTTGTATGCATTACAACTGTAGAAACTTCTGCCATCATTTGAGGTGCCACCAGCATTAAAACCTGCTTCATTTGTTATATCTATCCAAGGGGAATTGTTGTATGAATGAAGACTCTCCTACATTTCCTTTTGGACAAAATGTTAGTTGCACGACGTAATGAGCTTTTGTAGTAACTCGTAGGAGTTTGTCTTTGGCACAATTCTTTTGTATTTGCCTATGAGTGGTATGTTGAGTGTATGAAGGATCTCCTATAATGACTCGTACATATCCACACTTGATGTATGTTCTCCACCCTTTCTTACAACGAATCGGTGTATTTTTGCTTGTGAGTAATCACTATGTTCATTCGTTGATTGATGATGACTGTAGGAGACTACATCTTCTAGGATCTCCTTTGTATTTGTTGCAGTCCTTTAGGCATTTCTTCTTATAAATGACATGTAATGTGTATAGTAGACTTATATAATTGATGTTTGCTTGCAATCAGCATCGCATTCAAGTCGAAATCAAGCTTGTATTTGTTTCATTTGAGTACAAGTTAGATCATTGCCAACTATCTTTTCTCTTAATATACAAGTTCTTTTAGAGCTCATATACAACTAGATTTGAATTTTATTAATGTAAATTGGAACTGATCTTTGAGTTCAAGCAAGTCCATTGTATCATTTCCAAGTTCAAGCTTCTTGTTGCTCGAGCTTGAGTCCAAGTTCAATCATAGTCCCCTGTTGTCCAAATTTTGTTCAAGTCTTTTCAAATCTGAGTCTGAGTTCAAATTCAAGTTCAAATGCATGTCCACAAGTCCTCTGAGTTCAATCAAGTTCTTGCTTGAGTTCAAGCCCAGGTTCTTGTTCTTTATCAAGTCAAGTCCACAGTTGATCCAAGCTTGACTTCAATTCAATACACATTTTTTTTTTATTTGAGTTCAATTACTTTATTAAGTCATTTAGATCTTTTTCAAAAGTCCAAGTACAAGTCCTCCGTTGTTTTTGTAGAGTTCAAGTCCAAGTGGCAAGTTGAAGTTCAAAAGAGAGTCCAAGTTCATGTTCATTTGATATTCAAATTAAGTCCCAATTCATGTCATTTGTAGTCAATTTTGTATGTCCAAGTTCTTGTCTTATTTCAGACAAAAATTCGACAGCCTCCCGGCGTCTCCCCCATTTAGGGGAAAACCAAGAGGCCGCCTACCCGCCACGTCAACAAAGACGTGCACGGTTAGTGTTTGTGAAACACCGCGGCGGTAATATTTTGTTTTTCTCCCACCACGCGCAACAAAAGTGTGCATGGGTTTTTTTTTTAAGTATTTTATTTGAAAAGAAATTTTTTATTTCCCCGCGCTCGGAGGTACTTATGAGTGACCCCGCCTCGCCGTAGGTGCCGCACCGGGGTCCCATCCCACCACGCGCAACAAAGGCGTGCATGGGGTGGTTTTCCGGTCCGCCACGAACATTGAAGTAAGGCTTTGAGTTTAGAAAACTTCATACCTTCACAGGGTTGTCGTGGTTGGCACGTGGATCGAAGAGTCACTCGTCTACCTCGTCGTAGGTGTTGCACCGGGTTCCCTCCTACCACGCTCAACAAAGGCGTGCTAAGGTGGTTTGCCGACCCGACACGGACATCGAGGTAATAGAGTAGAGGGGAGCATTTTTTTATAATTAATTATAATTAAGATTAAATTTAATTAATCATTAATTAATTAAAATAATTAATTATAATTATTATAATTAACTAACTAAAAAATTAATTATAATTAATCTTAATTAATCATAACTAATAAATAATAATTAACTTTAATTACTTAAAATTAATTAATAATAATTAATTATAATCAATCATTTATAAATTATAATTAAAAATTGACTTTAATTAAAATAATTATAATCATTCAATTATAATTATTTAATTAAAGTTGACTAGCGTCGTCTCTCTCTCTCTCTCTCTCTCTCTCTCTCTCTCTCTGGACGGAAGAGGGTCGGCTATGGGGGTCGATTCGGATAGGGCAGAGACTACGATAGAGATGGGAGGAGGAGATCGTGAATGGGAAGGGAGAATCGGTGTTGGAGTCGTGTGGGAGGAAGCCGAGAGCGGAGAGCCCTTTGAGTCGGTATTTAATGACGCGAACAGCGTGGCCTCGAGCGGGGTTTGAGCAGAATTTGCGGAGAAGCGACGCAACGGTGCTGAGCTACAGGATTTCAGCGGGATTCCTTGCTGCATTTTGGGAGGGATTACGAAGGATTTCATGGATTCACTGGGTATGCATTTCATTTTCATCTCTTTTGGGTATTATACAGAGGTCAACATTCTCTCACTTCTATGGGCTCCAAAAGTCCTAGGAAGATTTTCAACCTTAGCCTAAAAGTTATAGGTCTCCTTTATTTTCCCTCCAACCTCAAAGTTGTGAGAGATTTCCCCTCTTCTTAGCACCGAAAGCTTAAGAGAATTTTTCAATCTTAGACCCAAACTCTAAGTAGCCCTTCACTTAACAAAGTAAGTGATTCCTTCTCTCATGACAAGTAAAATGCAACATTAAGATGCCCTTTAGGAGCCTCTATCTGTTGAAATCAACCTTACTCTATTAAATGAATTTCATAAAATCCTAAGTCAAATCATTAGGCATGACTACCTTATCCTATTAGGGAAATACTTCTCTCTTATCCAGACACTAAGATAAACTTAAAACACTTAAAAATCACTTAGGTTTCTTGAATACAATGATTGATCATTTCACCCCAAAAGGTTAAATGCCTTCACCATTGAATCTTAGGATTTCATAAGTACCGGGTTTACCTCAAAGAAAGCAGTGGTTGCTCTATCGATTCTTCTTAATCCTTTTAAATATGAAATAATTAAAAGTAATAAAATTCCTAAGTCAAAATTAACTTAAAGTGAAATCACCCAACGATTAAGATTGAACAACTTATATTCATGAATAAAACAATACTACACTTATAGTGTAATATGCCACACAGTCAGCACACACTTAAGTGCATAGTTTTTAGACTTGCTATAATTAAGATTTTTCTTTTCTGATCATGTGGTTGATGTTGTGGTGTGATGCATACTGGATTGTCTAAATTGTGGGTACTTGTCTAAAGTAGATAGGATAGAGAGATACTTTTTTTTTCTACATGTGACTGTGTCTAATAGGGGTCAAAAATAAGTCATGATTATCTAATATTGTTTGCTTACATGCACAGCTAAAACACCCTCAGGAGATATGGCCAATATGGTAGAAACTGTGCTTGGCACTTTAAGTGCCAAGCAATTCTAAATATTCCTAGCTTTTCATGTAATCTCTTTTTTTTTTTCATGTACTCTTCTTCCTAATCCTCTTTATATTTTGCATATTTGAGTATTTTATATTTTTTAATTATATTTAATAGATTTAGGAAGTATGCTTAAGCCTATGGGATACAATTACGTAAGAGGTCGTTAGAAGGATGAGTCTACCATAGGTGAAGCCCAAGACACACCTAGGAATTAAAGCCTGAAGACTCAACAAGTAAAAAATAATTTGACTGGGTTGTATAATGACAGATAAATCAGCTGCCATCCATGATTATAATAATTTAGACCCTATTTACTTTCTTGAATTTGGTTAATTTTATGTTTACACACATATGTGATTGTTTATTGAGTGTGCATTAGAAATATATGTTTTATTATAGGTTTGTTCACTAGCTTTTGCTTGGGGGTGGCTTGAACATGTGTTGTGTGGTAGGCTCTTAGAACAAAATCAAGATTTTTACCAATAAAAAAAATCACAACCATAGGACAATATGCATTTTTTACCAAAATTTGCATGGCTAACTCAAATCAGCCACATTTTTAAAAAATAACATAAAATAAAATAAAATGATCATTCATAATAACACTAAAAAATTTCAAAAAAGATGAGGAATCATATTTAAAGAATAAAATTTACCGCATCACTCAATGATTCTGTAAGCTCGCGTTCATAAGCAGTATTCTCAATTATTGGGACCACGAGCTCATCAAAATAACCATGTCCTTGAATTCCTTTTATCATCTCCATATGCGTTATCTGCATCAACAAAGGAAGGGGGAATGTACAGGTCACGTCAAGTGTATAAATTAGTGCATTAATATGCAAAAAAGTACATTCAATGGAAAATGAATCTCGCGTTCATTTTGAAGACGCTCCGAATGGCTTGCTACCCTTTATAAGTCTTTGGACTAAAATTTCATCTAATGAACTAGCTCAAATTACTATATTAACCATTGTAGATCAGTTATTTAAACAGATACTTCGAACATAAAACAAAAGAACTACTAGACATAAGAATAACAAGAATATCTAAACATTAAATGTTTTACAGAACAAATAAACCTTTATCAATCTGCTCAATCAAAAAGATGAATTTTAACAACATCAGATTATAAGAAGTCACAAAAACGTTCAATTTGGCCCATTTAAAGCTAAACGCTGAGAGGTGGATAAGCATGAATTAAAAAGGCCTGGAAAGTTGATGACTGTAGGTGTAAGCTTTTTTAGAATGTGTACTGCAGAAAAATTCAGATGTTACAGTCCTCTTTTCCATCATCATGCAAGATGAAAGTTATAACTCTTTTCAAGATAAGAGATGGCATTCCATAGCAAAACAAACAAATTTATTCTAAGATCTAAAGAATAACATTGTTTCTGCAACAATTCTATCAAGAAAATCAAAATTAACGCATACCAGCCAGGGAAAGCATTGCAATGCCTATAAAAATTACAAAAAAATCGGAATTAAAAAAATATATATTTCTTAACATATAGGTAAACATTAGAACTAGGGGTGTCAATTTTTGACACGACACGAAACACGACCCGAACCCGACCCGGAAAAATCCGGGTTCGGGTCAACCCAAACCCGAAACGGGTCGGGTTCGGGTTGAAGAAATCAACCCGTTTTAAAAATCGGGTCGGGTTCGGGTTGACACGGAAACACGAAATTGACCCGAAAGTGACACGAAAACTCATATTTGACCCGAAAATCCGAGTTTGACCCGTTTTTGACCCGATTTTGACCCGATTTACCCGAAAAATGAAGATTGACCCGAAAACTAGCAATTCCGGGTCATTCGTGTCGGGTCGGGTTGACCCGAACCCGAATCGGGTCGGGTTCGGGTCCAGAAACCTGACCCGTTTTTAAAAACGGGTCGGGTTCGGGTTGACCCGAACAGTGCCGGGTCAGTTCCGGGTTCGACCCGAACCCGACCCGTTGACCCGAATTGACACCCCTAATTAGAACTACATTCAAACGGACAAGTGCAAAAATTTATTAAAAAGAAAACATAATGAAACTCTAAATTCGAGTTAACAAATTTTCTCCATCTATGTTTTGGACAGCTCACAGCAATAGTTTTCATGTAACCAAAAAATGAATCCATGCACGCAAGACCAATTACATGAATTTGTTCAAAACTCACCCTGAATTCCAACAGGCACAAAGTATTTATAGTTAGAGTCTTATGATGACATATGGGCTTAGCAGTTAAACTGGCACAAAGTAGCAAATGGATATAAACCATAAAACTCATATCTGCCTACCAACCATGGTTAAAATGGGATGACAATTACGAAAATTCCACCATTGACCTTCATCTTGTTCCACCAAAAAGAAAAAGAAAAAAATGAAAAAATCGGTGAATAACTAGAAGTTAATAAAATTAAATAATTATATTTGTTCGTTGGCATAAAAAAAAAGTAAACATTCCTAATGCTACTTGATGCTTGGGTCTAACCAACTCATGTTGCCTCCCATGCTAGATTAAATTAGTCAGCTCAGTAAAAATTACTTGAAATTGACTTGGCCAATAGCCTATTTTCTAATCATCTAGCCCTTTCCGGAGAAGATCCAAACTATTATTCCCCTCTCATTTCATTCAATTCAAATCATTGATTCATTTATAGGTTTAATCCAAGCTTAACATAGCTAGAAACCCCATTCCATCCCATAACCTGAGCAAGTTAGGACTAAACCTTAGAATGATCATATGTAGTCAAAGATAGAAAGAGAAACAAATCCTTAGCAGAGTCGTCAGAAACCTGTGGTCTCTGAAAATTCGGCCCTGGCCTCCGCTCGCGTGCTTTTCTTCAGGGGAGTTTTAACAGATTAAGTTTCGGGGTAAATTTTGGAAAAACAAATGGGATTTTAGATAAAACACTATCCAGATATTTCACCCTCATTTTTGCGAGGACTTTATGATCTGAGTTCTGGTTTCCTTTAGGCACAATCCCCTATAGTTAATTACCCTTCCCGATAATGAGAAAGAACTTTCGATTAAGGTTAGTCGTCAATCAGATACGTAGAAATAGGTGTTATCTAACATATAGTAGCAGCATGAGCATGGGAGTTTGGAGATTTAATATTTTAAAAAGAAATTTCACAATCATGCATGTGGGGGAATGGATGATGGACCCGATCAAGATCCCATGGCTCCGTCATCCCGGGCCATCATGGTCTCTGTTCTACTTAGTCAGAGGTAGTCAACCGAACCTGATAGAAGCATCATTATCGGCATCCATGAGTTGTCTCATCCAAGGGAACCTTGTAGACCTGGGGGAATGTTTATCTAAGGGATAAATTTGAATTCACCTTAGCTAACAGAGGGCTTTGTTCCCTATCGATCATATTTTATTGATTAATATCTTAAGGATTTGATGCCACTAAAGAATATATTGGCTCTGCCCATAACCGTTATCTCGTGGTGCCATTTGGTAGAAAAATCACTAAGATCAAAGGGCCCCGGGTCATAACTGTTTATCCTTGACGATTAATCAATTAATTGACATTTAATTTCAAATTAACAATTCTTAAATTTCAATTAATTAATTGAATTAATCAATTTAAGTTCAAAATTAATCGCTCTTCCCTTGGAGCGATTTCAACAGCATCCTAGCGTCCCTTCCCCATGAGTGGAGGTCAGGACAACACTTGTTGTTGAATTCTTCTTGGTCAAATCTAAGATTGATGGTGTGAGGGCTTCGATTGGATTTCATCATGGTCGGATGTAAGATCGACGGTGTGAGGGCTTCAATTAAATTTTATCTCAACCGGATGTAAGATCAACGGCGTAGGGTCTTTGATTTTAAATCATGTATGATCGGTTCTAAGATCAACGACGCAAATATTTGATTTGCTCATTCCTCTAGCCAGATCTAAGATCGATGGCATAGGGTCATTGACATCGGATCTGATAAAGAGGTTATGTTTGGTCGAAATAAAGGAGGTGCTGGTATTAGAAATTAACCATGTGAAAAGGGCTGCAATGATTTGAGTCGAGTTGGATCGCGTAACAGGAAATCGGCTTCACGAAGCAGGGGTTATGAGAGACGGACGCACGTACGGGTGCGGTGCAGGAGGCCACTTGTGCGGGTATTTGGCTAGAGCGGAATCGGAGCCTATTGTAAGGCTTAGAGCAAAGACCAAGGGAGCGGTCCTAAAGTCTAACTGTGAGGGAGGCTTGTTCGAGTGTGCAGGGAAGGCCGATTTGAGTGGGATGAAAAAGGTGGAATAGAAGGTGTTTGCCATGACTTCAGGCCGATCGACGAAGGTGCAGAACAGATGAACCAAAGCAGGAGCAAAAATTGATAGCGTAAGTTGGTTTTTTGTTGTTCAGTTTCTCCGTATATTTATTAATCAAATAGTTGAGTAATTGTGTCGTTTTCAAAGCGTCACTTCTATTTACTGGTCTTCTATAGCGGTATATTTGTTTCAAATTTTTCCTCCCCTTTATTTATTTTATTTTAGTAAATAGAACCCGGCCATTCAATTGACTCAATTGAGCTTATCGAGCTACGATTCCAGCTTGAGCCTATACTTAAGCTCATATATTAAACGAGCTCAAGCTCGAGCTCAGCCTAGCTCATCTTGAAAACTTGTTGAGTCACTCGATTAACATAAATATATATTTAAAATTTAATTTAAATTAGCATTATATAATATATTTTAATATTTTTAAATTAAATTTCTATAATAAAAATAATAATTCTAAAAAAACTTGAAAATTCTAATTTAAAACTAAGAAATCGAATTCAACAATTGAGTGAAGCTTGAGCTTTTCAAATGAGCTCAAGCCTATCAATGTTTTAGTGAGTCAAGCTCGAACTCAAATCTAGCTCAAGCTCGGGCTCAATAAGAACTGAATAAGCTTAAGCCCAATAGGTAGATACTTGACTCATTTTCATCCCTGGAATCAACACTAGGATAATATTTATAAATAAATTTGTATACTTTGTTCCAAAATAAGGTAACTCTTTCCATACAAAAATAAAATGTAAAGCCTCCTTATGGATCTTTTACCATAACTCAATATATACCGATTGTTTATCCATAAAGATGTGCTTCTCAAATCAGCATCAAACATATATATTTGGCTAATAAACATCATATACATAGCTTTATAAACCGTATATAAAAATAAAAACCCTCGCATTAAATATTATATAAAAAAAATTATATTATAAGAAAGCATATGCATACTGTTATAATAAAAAATCATAGTTTAAGTGGCTAAAATGTATGTACTTCCTGAAATAAAAATATCCTAACTTATATTGCATGTGTATTGAAATGAAGACTTCATAATTTTAGAAGTGCCCGAGTTGGTTTGGTTTGCCATCCTTTTCAGGCTTAGTTATAAGACTAGAGGCTGCGCTGACTTAACCTCAAATCAAGTTTCAACTTTGTAAGTCTCATGTGTACCATTAGATTTATTTTATAATTACTATCTATCAGTGGTTCTCACCTTAGATCTAAAGTCTAAAGATGATATTCTTTTAAGTTTCATCATAATCCCTCACCTTCTTAGGCATTTTATCAATATTGTGTTATTGGATTATATGCCCTAACTTCCTAATCAAATTGATCAACTTTAACATAAATTTACTTTCAAAATATAAACCACAACATATGATAGTTATGAGCACCTTTATTTTTTTTATAACCAAGTACTCCAATATTTTCTCCTTCAACTTCCATTTTAAAATTAACTTTAACTTGGTTCAATCATCCTTGAAATTCCAAATACCAATCCTTTAAAACAAATTTCTTAAATTCATATAATATGTTAGTCAATGTTCTAATTAAACAACTATTTTTATCTGAAGTTTTCACAATTGCGAATATCCTTGAGACGTAATTAACTATAAAAGATAGCCCTTACAGGGAATTGTACCCAAAAATAAAATAAACCATATTCAATATAATAAGTAAAGAAAAATCTTTGGGCATATATAAATACAAGTTTTATTATTATTTACATAGCAAAATAAGATTTAGTCCTCAGGCTAACACTATTTTTCTTGGCATACTCGATAACAAAATATTTCAAATTTGTTGAGGATAAAAAAATTCCCCAAACAATTGGTCTCGTCGATTCTTTACCAATTGATTTCTCATTGTAACTTACTCTTTTGTCTAGTAATTAGACTCTTTTTTCTTGTAGAAACTTACTCTTTTTTTTCTAGTAATTAGACTTTTAAATAAAGATGGCTTTAAACTCTTGACAAGTTTTAATATTTGCCGACTTCCACATTGACTTGAGCACATGCATCTATATCTGCACAGCTACCAAGAGCTATAGGAGTGACTGGTATAGTTGCAGATGAAACACTAGGTGTTGCAAGTTCTATCATAGACTACATTGTTTCCATCATTTGCATCATCACGTTCAACATCTACATTTGGATCATAGTTCCTATTATTATATTGACAAGGTCAAGAACCACTGGTACATTGTTAACTCTCTGTGTACTATCTTCCACTGGTGTAATATTTTCAGGACTCTCAGGCGTCCTGTTATGCTGAGATAACTAACCAATCGTCCCTTCAAGTACCCTTCTAGCCATTATATCTGCAAATACATTACTTTATAAAATATGTATATATATAATCATGCACATATATTAACATGTTATTTTTATGTCCCCATAGACCACGTAAAGCTTTATGTACCCTAGCTATTTGGATGTCTGCAAGTGCGTTAAGAGCAAAATCATCAAAAAATTAGTGGCTGGTTTAATACAAGATCCTTAGAGAAAATAACAAGATACTGCTCCAAAGATATGATAGTAGTTGCTTGACAACATCCAATAAGCTGCATGCCTGGAATATATTTTTGAAATAGAGTGATCTACATCCATGAGGGTGAGCGGCATGCACCATACGTTTTGAACTCTAACCAAGTGAATTTAGATTAACCCCCTTCTGATACTTCCAAACTAAATTTATGACAATTCAATAGATATGGTTTTTTTTGGCTAAAAGTGATGATATGATTATAACCTCTGTAGCGGCTGTAAAACCAAGGATGTGGCAGTAACAGAAAGATGAAGAGTTGCTTCTTGCAAAATAAAAGAATCAAATAATATATATAAAAAAAGTCCATTCATGCAATCTAAACATACACTAATACGACTACAATGGATGCATGCATGTATACATTTTGGGCCGAAATCTAATTTTTAACCATATAATTAAATAAGAGAAAAAGAGCATCTGGCTATATGTTAGCCTTGCTTTAATACTTATCCTTATTCTGATAAGAACCCTTATTTATGTAACAATAACATCAATCCAGCACAGACCATTTGTTAGCTAATAAAGACAGAGTGAATGTTCATGCAAATACGGTGTGGAAGAAACAAATATTGAAGTTCATATAGTGATTTTTGCATTAAAAAAACTATGAAAAAAATAAATAGCGAAAAAATCCCTCCGCATTGAAGCTTCTGGGACTCTAATAACTCCTAAAAAGGTATTAAGAAAATTCAAGGAATACTAAAGGTCAAGGAGATATTTTCTTTGGCCTGAGAGAAAATAAAAGCATACTACAGCATGATGCCACTCAACTAAGAAGTTTAAAACATACACGAAACTCCTTTGAAAAGGGATTGATCATCGTTACTAGACAAGACTCCATCCCATGGCTATGAATGACTGCCCCAGCATTGCGCATTTGGTAAGCCTACAAATGCCAGTGAAATATAAATAACATACAGATACTATCTTATAACAAGTAACAAAGGTTAGTAAAGCATAAGCATTCATGTACTTAAATATCCTGACGGTGCTCCAAAATTAAATTATAACATAAATCATTATAACATATAATAGCATGTCAATATAAATATCACAGTTTTCATCACAAACTCAAATTTTGATAGAGATAAAGGAAATAAACATGAGAACATGTTCCCAATCAACTTACCCCTAACTTTTGAGCAATAAGCAACATGAAAAGAACTTTTATCTATAAGTAAAGCCTAAACTGACGCCGGTGCTGAATTTGTTCAAACCTTCCACTTCTGCTTTCATTTTTCTCTGTTTTTTCATTGTTCTCTTCTAGGCTTATTTGTTGCTGTTAGTTTGTTTTCATATGATTTCCCATGGTGTTGCCTTAATGTGGCTGTACTTACCGCTATGTATACCAATAAATATGGGTGTAACAACCAGAGAAGAAATAAGATTTAGAAAGACATTTTCTCATAATGTTTTCATTTCTATATCCTAAATTTAGCCATTCAGGTGGTGATTCAAGAAACAAACCAGGTCGGAATTGTTACCTAGTCCGATACTCTTCATTTCAAACAAGATTTTTTGATTGGCTCCCAGGCAGAGTCATATTGGTATCAAAGCCAGCTAAGAAGCTGTCTTGACGAAATCAACAGCGACATGTTCAAGAAGCGATGATTTAAAGATATGTAAAAGGAGATTGCACAATTACAACAACGTCTCATAAGATTTGAGCAAAGGGATGCCATGGGAGGTAATAAGGAAGAAGAAGACATCAACCCATTTCATCAATAGCCTTCGAGTGACGAGGAAGCGGAGAGACGTCCTCTCGGTCGAGTGCGATGGGGTCCATCAAATGAGTGTAGCATCAAGGAAGAGCTACCAAATTTCGATGGCCATTTGGATCCCGACGAATTCGTTAATTGCTTACATATAGTTGAAAGAATTCATGAATTCAAAGAAGTGCAGTCTAATCACATCGTCAAACTTGTCTCCATTAAATTGAAGAAAAGTGCATCATTATGGTGGGAAAATTTAAAAGGAATACCGAATCAGGAAGGAAGGAGCAAGATCACAGAATGACCAAAAATGTAGAAGGAATTACAACTAAAACATTTGCCCAGCCAATATCAATAAGATCTTTTCTTGCAAAACCAACTCACGATGGAAGAATACCTTGCTCAATTTGCATATCTATCACTTAAATGTGATCTTATGGAACTGGAAGAAAATATCATTGCTCGGTTCTTGGGAGAACTGCAACCTTCCATTACAAATATAGTCCAATTACAGTTGTATTAGACTTTTTAAGACGTGGTTAATTTGGTCCTCAAGGTGGAAAGGCAACAGCACATTGGCAAGAACTCGCATGGCAGAGGACTGAACCGAGAAGTTGAATTAGAACACATAGCACCTACAACTAAGAGTATGCAAGGCCTCAAACCAAACACAAAGGAGAGTTTGAATATTCCTAATGGTAGCCAAATTAAAAACAGTCCGATAGCAGTCCCAACCCGCAAATGCTTCAAGTACAATGGATTTGATCATATTGCATCGAACTACCCAACACGATGAGTAATTACCCTCATTGAGGAATTTGCACAAGTAGGTTTTTCAAATGATCATTGATAGCAAGAGCTGCGAGAATGTGGTGGAAACTACACTAATTGAAAAACTAAAACTACTAGTGGACAATCATCCCAATCCCTACAAATTGTCCTTGATTCAAAAAGAAAATGAAGTAGAAGTGTCCAAGGATTGTCTAGTTAAATTCTCTCTATGAAACTTTGAAGAAAAAATATGGTGTGATCTGGTGCCAATGGATGCCTACCACCTATTGTTGGGATGGCCATGGCAATATGATCAAAATACTATTCATGATGGAGCCACCAATGCATACTCTTTTTGCATCAAGGGAAGCAAATTATATTAGTACCATTGACAGCAACCACCTCAAGACAAATGCCAGGCTAAACATTATTAAACCATTAAATGATATTAAAAACATTACATGAAGCCACAAAAGACTATGTATTGGTGATGATGGAAGCTAATATAGCTACTGCAATAAAAAAAAAAGTCTGTCCAACCACTACTACAGGAGTATTGTCATGTTTTAGCAAAAGAACTTCCTGTGAGTTTGCCACCTCTAAGAGATATTCAGCATTCAATAGACTTTGTTCCTGCTTCTACAATTTTGAATGTTATTCTTATCGGTTGAGACCTAATAAGCATGAAGAATTGAAACCACAAGTAGAGTTATTAGTCAAAGGATTCATTAGACCCAGTATTAGCTCATGGCGTTTTGCTTGCATTATTAGTCCCAAAGAAGGATGAATATTAGATGTATATCAATAGCCAGGTTGTTAACAAGATTACTGTGAAGTACCAGTTTCCTATTCCTCGTGTTGATAACATCTTCGACCAACCTTGCATGGAGCAGCCATCTTCTCCAAAATTGACTTAAGAAGTGGATATCATGAGATTCGGATGGGAGCTGCAGATGAGTGAAAAATCGCATTTAAGACACGAGATGAATTATATGAGCGGACGGTCATGCCATTCGGTCTGACCAACACTCCAAGTACCTTTATGCGACTTATGAATCATATTTTGCAACCATATTTATGCAAATTTGTAGTCTCCTATTTCAATGACATTCTGATATATAGTCCTAATGAAGAAGAGCTCTACGCCATCTTCAACAAGTCCTTGATGTCCGTCGTGTACAGCGATTGTCTGCTAATCTCTATAAATGCTAATTTTTTACTGACAAAAAATATTTCTTGGGTATCATTATTTCAGCATCATGACTTGAAGCTGATCCCACCAACGTGCAAGCAATTGTCAATTGGCCAAACCCAAGATTTTTCACAGTGGTAAGAAGTTTTCACGGGCTTCCTTTTTTTTTTTATCAACGATTTATCAGGAGTTTTAGCACCATGACCACCCCTATCACTAAATATTTACGTGCCAATCATTTCTATTGGAATAAAGCCATCAAATCTAGTTCCGATCACTTAAAAAAGCAAGTTGCAGCTTCCCCTATTTTAGTTCTACCTGATTTTAAACAAGTTTTTGACGTGGAATGTGATGCTTCAAACATTGACATTGGAGCAGTACTTAGCCAAGGTGGACACCCCATTGCATTATTCAGTGAGAAATTGAACGAATCTTGCAGAACATATTCCACCTACGACAAAGAGTTTTATGCAATTGTCTGGGATATACATCATTAGAATCATTATCTACTAGCCAATGAGTTCATTTTATTTACTGATCATGAAGCTCTCTAATTCATTAATTGTTATAAGAAACTGAAAACCCAACATGCAACATGGGCAGAAACACTAGTAGCCTTTCATTTTGTGCTTAAGCACAAGGTCGAACATTGTAATCAAGTCGCAATTGGTCTTAGCCGACAACATCTCTTGCTGAAGCCGTTACATCTAAGCTTTCTGGCATTGAATTATTACAAGAATTATACTATATGCCATCGATTTAGATTTTAAGGGCATTTGGAATAAATGTCAAGCGAGACCATGCCACCTCTTACATGTAAAAGAAAATTATTTGTTTTATGGCAATAGACTTTGCATACTGCAGTGCTCTACTTGGTTAGCCATCCTAGCTGAATGCCATGAGGAGGTTTAGCAATCCATTTCGATAGAGATAAAACACTCACCTTAATCAAAGAAAATTTCCACTGGCCACTGTTAAAAAGGGATGTTGAACAATATGTTAAGAGCTGTAAAATCTATCAAATAGCTAAGCAAAGTGAACAACTGCTGGATTGTATAATCCTCTACCTATGCCCAACGCCCCATGGGTTCAAGTCAGCTTTGGTTTTGTACTTGGATTACCATGTACACAACGAAACATAGACTCGATCATAGTTGTGGTAGATCAATTTTCAAAAATTGCACACTTTATTCCATGCACAAAGACTCTTGATGTAACACATAATTTTTGGGAAACTGTTCGTTTGCATAGCATCCTGGAATGATCACTTCTAATCATGATGTGAAATTTTTTAAGTAATTTTGGGAAGACACCATAAGGTAAATTAGGAACTAAACTTCAATTTAGTTCTGCCGCTCACCCACAAATTGATTGCCAAACAGAAACTGTTAATCAAAGCTTGGGAAATTTATTGCGATGCTTTGTGGGGAAAAATATTAGACAATAGGATTTAATTATGGCTCAGATAAAATTATCTTTAAATCGATCAACAAATCAATTAACACGTCGAAGTAGTTTACAGAAGTAATCCCATTACACCTTGATTTGGAGCCTCTCATGCAGCCGGACACATTTAATATAGATGGGGAACAGATAAGTGCAGAATTTTAGCAATTGCATCGCCAAATTCAAAAGTAGATTGCTAAACAAAATGCCATATATAAAGCTCAGACCAATAAGTCAAGAAGAAAGGTGTTATTCAAGGAAGGAGACCTTGTTTGAATTAGACTACAGAAGGAACGATTTCCCCTGGACCCTTTTGGAAGCTCAAACACCAAACTGATGGGCCCTTCAGAGTAATTAAAAAGATCAATGATAATGCTTATCAAATAGATCTACCAGGTGACTATCATGACTCGGCAATCTTCAATGTTGCAGATTTAACTCCATAATATAAAACTAAAGTTTCACCTACTTTGGTGGAATAATGTCGGTGCTAAATTTGTCCAAACCTTCCAATTATACATTCATTTTACTCTATTTTTTTCACTGTTTTCTTCTAGCCTTATTTGTTCATATTAGTTAATTTATTTTCTTATGATTTCCCATGGTTTTGCCTTTATGTGGATGTACTTGCCACTATGTATACCTATAAATATGGGTGTAACAGCAAGAGAAGAAATAAGATTTAGAAAGACATTTTCTCCTTTTTGTTTTCATTTCTGTATCCTAAATTTAGCCATTCAGGTGGTGATTCAAGAAATGAACTAG